TTCGCATTTTACTAACTGTTGTAGCCTCCAAGGGTTGGCATCTTCATCAATTGGATGTGAATAATGTCTTCTTACATGGCGATCTTAATGAAGAAGTTTACATGTTACCACCACCAAGTCTTCCTCTTACTAAACCTGGACAGGTCTTCCGTTTATAGAATCTCTTTATGGCCTTTGCCAAGCTAGCCGTTAGTGGCATGCGAAGTTGTCTTCATTTCTGCTATCACTTGGCGACCAACAAGCTCAGGCTGATCATTCTGTCTTCACTCTTAAAAACCAGGCTTCCTTCACTGTATTATTGGTCTATGTTGATGACATAGTCCTTTGTGGGAATAACCTTGGTGAAATCTCTCAAGTTAAGCAGATTTTAGATGACAAATTCAAAATTAAGAACTTGGGTGACCTTTGCTACTTTCTTGGGCTAGAAGTCTCTCGTTCTTTGCGTGGCATTATCCTCAATTAAAGGACGTATGCACTTGAACTCATATCAGATGCGGGTCTTCTTGGTGGCAAGCCTGTTTTGTCTCTAATGGACTTTTCAGCCAAACTTAATTGCACTCAAGGTCAACCTCTATCTGACGCTTCTTCTTATAAACGTTTAATAGGCAGACTTCTGTATCTGACGAACACTCGTCCAGGCATTTGTCAAGTTGTGCATCGCCTCAGCCAATATGTTTCAAAACCACTAGATGTTCATTTTGCAGCTGCAAAGCGTGTACTACGTTGTTTGAAGAATGCTCTGGTTTGTTTTTTCTAGCCCATAATGATTTAAGTGTCCAAGCCTTCACCGATGCAGATTGGGCCAAATGCCCAGATAACAGGAAATCCGTCATTGGTTTCTGCATTTTCCTCAATTAAGCTTTGGTTAGTTGGCGTTCTAAAAAGCAAACAACCATAAGTCGTTCTTCTTTCAAAGATGAATACAGGGCTCTCGCCAGTCTCTCCTATGGGCTCTAGTGGGTACAATATTTCTTCCAAGACTTATGTATACCTTGGTCACGTCCAACTTCCGTTTATTGCGACAACCACTATGCTATTTATCTGGCCCACGATCAAACATTTCATGAGAGGTCCAAACCCCTTTCCCATCGCTTATGCTCTTCAACTTGTAGATATGTTCACAAAACCCTTGTCTCCTTCTCTCTTTCAACGAGCTATATCCAAGATGGGGATGTATAACATACATCGTCCAGCTTGGGGGGGGGGGGGAGGATATTGGAGGATAAACAACTCAGTTCTGCATTAGATTCCACGTCAAACAAGTGCATGAGGCAATCACGTGAACACTAACAGAATGAAGTTCAATTTTCGATTACAATGCAGTTAATTTGTACTGATTAGTTAGCCAACATATTGGGTCGTATTCTTGATCGTATTCTTGATAGCGGGCTCCTATAAATGTAATCATCATAGCTTGTATCAATGTAACAATTCATATGGAATATACTGTAGATTTCAATAAAAAAGTGAGATTCTTTTATTTGGAATGCTTATTAAAAAAGTTAGTGTTTTTTTATATATTTGCTTCTTTGATATATAATCATTGGCTATTGTTCTTTTGAATTTTCAATATTATGTGACATTACTTAGTTAAATAAGTATGTTAGACTTCATGGTAATTTTTTTTTAATAAATTTATGTAATTATGATAAATATTTTGACAAATTAATATGTTAATTTTTTTGGTTTGAGCTAAAATTAAATTCTGAGTCTGGTCTAAATCCTCGTCTTTAACTCTTTTGGGTTATTATTGAATTGAATTCTTCATCTCTTTTAATATGGTCAGATCAATATCTTATATATATTATTATTATTATTATTTTTTCTATTTGGAGAGTTCCCACGATTTGAGTTACCGCGATATATTATTATATTTATTTCTTTCTCTTACAAAAAAAAGTAAGGGCAAAGGCACCTTAGAAACTACAATGAGTCAGGCAGAGAATCCCCCGTCTTAATTAGCTAGACGACCACAGACAAGGGGGACACTTGAAATGTATGCACGCCTAACTTTGAAAAATGATGGTCAGATTGGAATATTTTTTTTTGTATTTTAAAAATTACCTTTAATAGTTAAGAAAAAAACAACTACTGTCAGTGGATGACACATGGTTGAGCCAGTTACACAACAAATAATAAGATACCAAAAAGTTTTTAGCTGATTTCAGTTCAGGAAGTTGAATTAATTAGCCATAATTCGGCTTGTCAAAGTTTCCATTAATTTGCACATCCATCAAGTGTCATTAAATTATCTTGTGCTGGTTGGTGGAATACCAATAGGTGGATGAGCTGTACCCGATTTCCTAATCAACGTTGTTGAGCTAATGCATTAGATCCGTGAACAGTTATTAATGTTTATTAATTTATTATACGATATTTAATTATATGTATACTAATCCAATCCAATGTAGTGGTTAATACAAGAGGGTTGGAAGGTCCAAGCAACTAAAAAAAATCATGAAAGCTTAGATTGTAGGTTAGCAAAATACCAAACCTAACCAACCCATCTTTTGTTGAAGTCATCCCTTGCTTGTTTAGATGATATCCTTAGTATCCATTAGGTTTCCTTTGCAATTCTCATTTTTGTTTTTATTGTAGAAATGGAAAATATCTTTCATCCTATAGATTCACTGAGTTTTTGGTGTATTTTGTATTCACAATATGATACGTATTTTATTTTTTGTTAAATTATTCTCTCGTTTAGTTTTTTTTAAAATTATTTATTAATAATTTGACAAAAATACAATATATATTATTATAAATAAAAAGTACACTGAAAATTAAATGCATCCATATCAGTGAAGAAATTTTCGCAGAAATGGAAAGTGCACTCATGAAAAATACCATTTGCATTGTTTTTCTCATTCAGAAGTTTGACTTTATCAGAAACACAGTGAAAATTAAATTTTCAACCGGCCGCTGAATTTTGGTAATTGGGTCATCCTTTATTGCTGCCTTATCTGATCCCATCTTCCCACTAAGGCACGAAGGAACAAGAACACCTTGGTTCACGTTACTCCAACAACAGAGAATATATGGAAGGGAAGAAAAGTCACTTTTTTAGGAGTGAAAACAAAAAAGACAAAGGAGAAAAAGGAAAGAATAAAGGAATAAGGAAGAATGTCACTTTTTGAGTTTTCACTTTTAATTTTTTAGCAAGGGCCTGAAAATTTTGCAATAATATTTTAAATATATGTTTTATTATTCCCCCACGCGAGGTTTATGATAAAAATAAATAAATCTGTTCTCGTTGAAGATGAGTCTCCAAAACTTATGGATAAGGGATCAAATAGCGTATGCATTTAATTTATTTATCGACATTATTGTGCAAGACTTATATACTTCAACGTGGTTTTACTTGGACAGAGATGTTAAGGGTACAATTCTGAATCCTCTGTTCTCAATGGGACATAAAAGACAGGGTCAGCATTATTAATTTATTATGAAATAAATCATAGGCCCCTTATTAATGATGTGGACCCCTAACTTGTGTCAAAACAAAAAGTCCCTATTCCCCACTGATTAAACACTTTTTCTTTTATTTAAAGATATATTTTGAAGGGGTAAGATCTTTTGATATTGATGTCAAATTTAAAATTTGATATTTCATTTAAGAGTCATTAGATCAAAAAAATAAACTATTCTGATTTATAAATACTTGACATCATTAATCTTTGTTGATCTAATGGCTCTCAAATGAGGTGTTAAACTTTAAATTTAACACCAATATCAAATGATCTTGCTCCATTTGGAGTGCTTATCAATAAATAAATAAATATATATTTTGGAGTAATATACAAATGTATTTTATGCAATATAATTATGTATTTTTTTGGAAAAAATTTCAAATATATTTAAAAATATTAAATTGAAATTATTTCACCTTAAAGTCCTTATATATGGCCATAAGATTCTTACTGTATCAATATAAAGCTTAAAAGAGAACTATTTCATGGATTAAATTTTTCTTTTGAAAATTTTTAATATTTTTTTAATTTAAATAAACCCATATTAGCATACCACAACATATACGCTTATCACTAATTTTTTTTTGTTTGTTTTTCCAGTTATTGGGCTATAAATTTAGAGTGATATATCATGGATTCTTTCCTTTGTTATTAATGTTTTTCCTTTTTACATTTTTTGAGGGGTAATATGTTGTTTTCTTATTTAGTAAGCAGCTTTTCTTTGAAGAAGAAAAAACACCTTTTTTATATCCAACATTTCACGGCTCAAATTCATGACATTCAGTTTTGGAATATAGTCATTGGCATTATTTAAAATTTGCAAATTACCAGATTCTATGAAATATTATCAGGTCTATTGTGTAATTTTATATTTTCATCTTTGATTTATTCTCATGTTTATGAGTTTATTAATTCTGGATAGAACAAATAAGAGAAACATATATTAAATTAAAATAATAAAGTTTATCATTCCAGCTCAAGATAAGTAAATATATTCTTTTTTATTCTTAAGTATAAAACAAGGAAGGAATAAAACATTATAATTGACAATTGTTAAGTTAAACAATTAACTTAACGACGAATAATTAATAACACGCTTTGTGGTAGATAATAACAAATTTTTATGTCAGTAGTGTATAGTTCTTTCACCTTTCAAAATAACAGAAAATACTGACATTTTTCTTTCTTTTAGCGAGACGTACGTGCCATGGATGTCGACAAAAATTTAAATCTTTTTTTTCCGGATATTGCACGGATACTACACTAATGACAGATAATTAATAACACGATTTATTGATGATATACAAATCATTATTAAATTTTATGAAGAAAGAGCATGAACCTGAGATATATTTTCATTAAATCCAATTGTTTTCTTTGTATAAAATTTTAAATATCTAATAGAATAGTAATAAAATCCAACAACTCCACCCAATATATATTATTATTATTATTTTTGTAATAACTCCACCCAATATTTTCGTTACCTTCGTCTCTTTCTTCCTCTTCCCTTCACTGTCAGTGTTATCTTTTCCCCCAAATTCAGAGAGAGAGAGAGAGAGAGAGAGAGCAGCGGGAAGCTCAAACCAGCGAATTGAAAGCTTCTTCTTCCTCTCTCTGAATCATTGTTCGCTCTCTCCTCAGAAACCAAGGGTTTAAGCCTTTTAACTTGGAACATTGTTCACCCTTTCGAATCAAAACCACTTATTCTGTTAAGAGGCAGAAGGAAAAGGTTCACTCTCTCTTCTGCACAAAGGCTTTTCCAAAATGCATTGGAGCACACGATTCTTGTGTGTTCCGAATCCGATCGAAAGATCGCCGGCTGTTTGATGGAATCAGCGAAGTCTGTGTTTTCAGTGTTTGCCATCTCATGGAGTTCATGGTTCGGTGTAGTTCGTGCATGCTATCCAGATTTCGTTTTAACCTTCGATTTGCCGTCGTCGTTTTCGAGGTAAACCCTGCTAGTTCATGAGTTTCGGTTTATTTATTTGTTTTGTAGATTTCTTTTTGCTCAATGTTGTTGTAGCGTTTAGGGCTTAGGCTTTTCTAAATAATCTACTGAACTTTGCTTAGCTCTAATTTGTTGCTGAAGATTTTTAGGATAGATTTAGAAGAGAATCAATGTTTGAACATTCTATTTTTGGACGTGAAATCTGATTTTTTTTTTTTAACGATATTTTTTTCTTCTTACGTTTTGAATATTTTATTCTCTTTGATCTCCATCGTCGTTATCTTTTGCTCGATATATATGGGCAGCTTTTCACTAGCCTCCTTGGCGGCTGATTTGTTTCAGAATAATTTCATAATTTCGCTGGGGACACGAGCTAGAAAAAGGAGAAAAAAAAAAGATTTCATAGTTTCTTAGTAAGTATGGTTTTGCTCGATATATATATAGGAAGCTGTTCACTGGCCTCCTTGGCGGCTAATTTCTTTCACTATAATTTCATGATTTGGCTGAAGACACGTTCATGAACTAAGAAAAGAAAAGAAAAAAAATAATGATTTCATAGCTTCTTAGTAAGTATGGTTAAGCCTATGGGGTTCAAAATGGAAAGTTTCTATTATGATATCTTTTTAGCTAGTGTTTTTTCAGTGGTGTTTTTGATCTAGTCATTGCTAGGAAGTGAAAATTGAGAAGTTTTGTTTCTTAATGTTTGTTTAATACAATGCATATAAGAGTATAGATGGTATGGTTGCTCAAGTTGGATATCTATTGTTAAATCATGCTTCCAGATTGTATTGATATTGGCATGGTTGGAAGTCAATAATGCAAAGCCCCAAGAACACCAATTTAAATGGGGAGGCTTGGAAGGGAGGATTGAGAACATTGCCTCACACTCTTGCATCCATGACCAGATACTTGAACAGAGAAAGCGACCTGGTCGAAAGGTGTATTCAGTTATGCCACAGGTTTACGAGCCTGGTTTCTTGAAACCCCTTCAGCATAAAGGTAGGGCATTGCTTGGTGTATCAACATCATCGGAGCCTCAAAAGGATGCAAAGAAACCTATTAGGATATATCTAAATTATGATGCTGTTGGCCACTCCCCTGACAGGGATTGTCAAAAAGTTGGTGACATTGTCAAAGTGAGTGTTTATTTTGAATGTAAAAGGAATCTAGATTGTATATATCTAGTCATAACATTGGTATTTTCTTTCACATGTACTTATTATCGTTGATCATTAATTTTCTATGAACAGCTTGGGGAGCCTCCCATGACTTCTCTTCCTGGTTTGCCTTCTTGTAATCCTCTTGCGGATCCTCCAATCTCTGGTGATTGTTGGTATAACTGCACTTGCGAAGATATCACAGGAGAGGACAAAAAGCATCGCCTTCGTAAGGTTAATTTTTTTATCTCTCCTTTTAATTTTTACTTGTTTCACTAAATCGATAATAAAAAAATGGCTACCTGGTGTTATAAAGCTCTGTCCACGTGTGGAGTCTAGGAAGGGTTGTGGGTACATAGTTAGGCAACCTTACCTTGCACTTGCTAGAGGTTGGTTCCATGACTTGAACTTGTAACTTCCGAGTAACATGTTGACAACTCAACTGCTGCACCGAGGCTTCCCTTCCCTAGGTCAATAATTTTATGTGATTCTGCATCACTTTTTGGCACCTTTTTATTTCTCTTTGGGCATGGTGTTGTTAGAAATATAATAATAGTTACTGTATTACTATTTGCATAAAGATTGCATAGAGATATTCACCATTGGTAGAAACTTGTTGCAGGCATTAGGTCAGACAGCTGACTGGTTTAGGAGAGCATTGGCTGTTGAGCCTGTCAAGGGGAATTTGCGATTAAGTGGATATTCTGCATGCGGACAAGATGGAGGTGTGCAGCTTCCTCGTGAATATGTTGAAGGTATGATTCAGTTGTTGCATGCCTTCTGCGGAAAATGTAGTTCTTATAAAACTTATGGTAACAATTGTACTTGTGAATTTAAGAGATGATCACTTTGTTCACCTTTCCCAGAGGGAGTCTCTGATGCGGACTTAGTTCTTTTGGTGACTACAAGACCTACGACTGGGAATACACTTGCTTGGGCAGTGGCATGTGAACGGGATCAATGGGGCCGTGCTATCGCTGGTAGTTTATCTTGTAAATGTGTTGGTTTAGATGGTCATCTTTATTTTGCATTTGAGATGATTCAGAACTGAAATTACTTCTATTTTTTTGGGTGCAGGACATGTTAATGTTGCTCCTCGTCATTTGACAGCTGAGGCAGAGACTTTGCTTTCAGCTACTCTAATACATGAGGTTAGTTTGGTTTTTGTATATAATAGAGATGATAATAGAAACAAGGTTGCCAGTTTGTTGCTTTGTTCATCATATTTGGTCCTTTTCAGGTTATGCATGTTCTGGGTTTCGATCCTCATGCCTTTGCTCATTTTAGAGATGAAAGGAAAAGACGCCGTAATCAGGTATTGGCTGCCTTTTTGTAAGATTCATTATTTTCTTACAAAGGAACAGTATAATCAAGATATACGAACCATTTGTTTTCAAACATACTTTCCTCCGCGTTTGGGAATTTGAGCCTCACGAAGTATAAGTTACTAATCATGATTACTTCAGATATATGAGCTTCTTGCTGTTGTGGTTGTTCTCATTATTTATAATTATTATTATAGGTCACTTTGTTTGACATGAAGTTTGAAAAACATGAAAGTTGAGTACAGTTTCTGTTTGTATTGGTGGAGAGAAATTTTAATGGTTCTTGTGAATGGTGTTTGTATTAATTTTTCTTTAAAATAAGTTGAGGCACATCAATGAATGCAGGGAATTTTAGGAGAGCAAAGCAAATTTTCCTGGCATTCAATTGAGCGGCACATATGTATTATTATGTAGTCCATTTTTTAGAACTATTCTCTTTGAATATTGAAAAATTTCTTTTTATTCACTCTTTTTCATGTCAGGTATTTACTAGCTCACATTTTGGAAGCTCATCATTTTTTGTCTTTGCAGGTTACTGAACAAGTTATGGATGAAAAGATTGGGCGGATGGTAACACGTGTGGTGCTTCCGCGTGTTGTCATGCATTCACGACATCATTATGCGGTATTTTCCTGGGAACATATTCTCTTATAATTTCAATGTCCTTTTTGCTGTTTTCATATTTACCGTGTCCCTCATTAGAAGATTCAACAAATGATTGATGAATAATTTGTTGGCAGGCATTCTCAGGAAATTTTACTGGTTTAGAGCTGGAAGATGGTGGAGGACGCGGCACATCAGGTTTTAATTTCATCATTTTTTCTTTCTTAATTTAAATGTCTACCTCTTCCTTTTCTTTATGCCTTTTCCTTTGGAATTTATTACCTTGATAAAGTGATTTTGCGATTGCTGTAGGAGGCAAACCTCAATTTCCATTTACAATAGTTTTATTAATTTTATTTAAATTACCAATCCATCATCCCTCCTCCCCACTTTTTTGTTTTTAAGAATAACTCTCTCAACTCCAACCAATGTTTGTTGTAAGACTTGTGAATACTGACTGTGGCAGTACCATGCTTATAAAAATATGCTTAAATGATGTAAGTTTAACAGTTTGAAATTTATATATTTTATGCAAAATGAAATATTAAATAAATGTTTCCCTCCTCCTTGGTAAGATCATAAGCAAAAGCATTATCCTTCCTTTGTGTAAATCTTGCCCAAAAGTTGCTTAAGATAATGAAACAAAAATATGGAAAAAATTGCTTCGTAGAACATACCATGCATTATGTTAAGTTGAAGCATGTGGTTCTGCTATCCACCAACAAAATGATAGATCCAAGTTTGGTAATTGGCTTACAGGGTCTCACTGGGAAAAAAGACTTCTGATGAATGAAATCATGACTGGTTCTGTGGATACAAGATCTGTAGTTTCAAAAATGACACTAGCTCTCTTAGAAGATAGCGGATGGTACAAAGCCAATTATAGCATGGCAGACCATCTTGATTGGGGTCGCAACCAGGGTACTGAGTTTATTACCTCCCCTTGTAATCTCTGGAAGGGGGCCTATCATTGCAACACAACACAGTTTTCAGGTTGTACGTATAACAGAGAGGCAGAGGGTTACTGTCCAATTCTAACCTATAGTGGAGACCTTCCTCAGTGGGCTCAGTATTTTCCACAAGCTAATAAAGGTATGTAATTTTGTGTCTTCATTTGAAATATTTAAGGCGATGCTAATCCATATATGATTTCTTGACTCTTTCATCTATTGGTATTGCTTGGGCCAGATTCTGTGTTATTAATGCTGGACTGTCAAGATTGTTGTAGTTTCTGGGCTGTTGCATTCGTGATTTTTCTGTAGCTGCTGCTGCTTATTTTCTTATTACACATCACATTTTTCTTTTTATTGGTGGTTATTGTAAATGGTTTTGAATACTAAATGACTGTTGGCTGTATAAAGTCTCACGACTAACTGGTTGTTGCAGGTGGACAATCCTCATTAGCTGATTATTGCACCTATTTTGTTGCATACTCCGATGGATCATGTACAGACACTAACAGTGCACGGGCACCTGATAGAATGCTAGGTGAAGTACGAGGAAGTAACTCTAGGTCAGATTTGTGACTATGAACTTGTAATGTTGTCTGCTTTGCTTGCATTTTATATAAAACATGCTGGTCTAGAATTGCTTACTGTTGTTCCCATTCAATGCAGGTGTATGGCCTCATCATTAGTGCGCACAGGATTTGTACGAGGTTCTCTGACCCAGGGAAATGGTTGTTATCAGCACAGGTGTATCAATAATTCTTTAGAGGTATAGTTTAGAGTCTCAATAATAAGTGAAATGTTCCTCTTTTCCAATGCCTTTTTTGGCTGGCATGGGGATCACATGGTGCAATACTATATGCTCAAAGAGTGTTGTTCAATAACAGTCTGACAAGAGTACTTAAATTTGAAAATGTTGTGGGCCAATTATTGCTATTCAAACTAGGGAATTGAAATTGAACTTCAATGGAACTAATCGGACAATAAGTTTAATCAAACCTTCCCCCACCTCCCACTCCAGTGGTTGATTGTTTAAGAAATATATAATAAAATAATTGAATTGGTATATGTTTTTTCTTTTGTTCTTGATAAGGGGATGATATCATGCTCATTGATCCTTCCTCTTGGTTTATACTAATTTAGATACTAATTAAGTGATTGTTTCTGTAATTGACAACCATATTTGAACAGAGCTTCATTAATTTTTGGATAAGCTGCAATTGCTTCTGGTCTTTTCTCTAGCTCGTATTTGAATTGATTCTTATGCCTCCCTTCTTTTCATTTATCATGAAAGTCACTTAATGAAGTTCCATGTTACATACAGGTTGCTGTGGATGGTATATGGAAAGTGTGTCCTCATGCTGGTGGATCCATTCAGTTCCCTGGCTTTAATGGTTAATATTACTGTTATTTTGTTTGTTTAAACATGAATGTTAGATCCCCAATAAGTTAAAGGCTTTTTATTATATTTTTCAATAGGTGAATTAGTCTGCCCTGCGTATCATGAGCTCTGTAACAGAGATCCAGTGGTTGTGTCTGGGCAATGTCCAAGTGCATGTAATTTCAATGGAGATTGTGTTGATGGAAGATGTCACTGCTTTTTTGGATTTAATGGTCATGATTGCAGTAGACGTGAGTTCTCATTTCCCACACTATATTTTAAGTTCTGTATTCATTTTGCTTCAACTGCTAAGCTACCTTCTTTTTAGCAGCAGATTATAGCTTTTATATTTATGAAAATGTGCTTGCGTAACTTATTCCAGGTTACTGCCCCGGCAATTGCACTGGCAATGGCATGTGCCTCTCCAATGGAATTTGTGAATGTAAAACTGGCTACACTGGCATTGACTGTTCCACTGGTAAACTATGACTTTTGTACTAGACTAGATATTCCCTGAACGACTATTTCTTCTTATAAGTGATCTAGGCTTACAAGTCCTGACCTTTTCCTCCCTTATTTTGTGGGCAGCATCAATAATTTCTCACGTTTACCTTAATCTAAAGCATATACTAGTTGTTTTTTGTTTATATTGTAATTGTGAATAACACCAATCTCATACCTGATTACTAAAATCATTGCTTCCAAAGCAATAGCCTAGGGTAGGGATGAGCTTTTGAATAATTTTTTCCAGTATGAAGATGTAGGAGTTCTTGAACATATGATATGTACTGTATTGGGGTTTCTTTTGGATAATTATCCTCAATTTTATGTAATTCATCTAGGTTTCTAGTTTTTGTATTTTTTCCCCAAATTTTTCAATCACAGTTGCATATTAATTAAAACAGATTCAGTCAGTCTTGTTAAACAAATTTTAAAGTAGGAAAATGTTGATTTAGTTATAGTGGAAACATAAGTAAGTTATTGGCTTGTCCCTGATTCTACATGCAGCTGTTTGTGATGAGCAATGTAGCCTTCATGGTGGGGTTTGTGATAATGGAGTTTGCGAATTTCGCTGTTCTGACTATGCGGGATACACTTGCCAGAACAGCTCCATGCTCCTCTCCAATCTTTCAGTTTGCAAAAATGTGCTTGGAAATGATATTTTTGGTCAGCATTGTGCACCCAGTGAACCTAGCATACTACAGCAGCTAGAAGAAGTGGTTGTCATGCCCAACTACCACCGATTATTCCCTGGTGGTGCAAGGAAATTATTTAATATATTTGGCAGCACCTACTGTGATGAGGCAGCTAAACGGCTTGCATGCTGGGTAATTCCTATCTTTCCATGCCAGAGTTATTCTTTTACTTTTTCTTTTCCCTTTTGTAATATATTTTACTCTTGGTCAGAATTGAAGTTTTGCTTCTCAATGTATTTTTTAATTTTTTGTCCTTCCTTTCCTATTTAGTTCACACATTATTATGCATTTTATGTGACCTTCCATTCTGATAAAATAGTATAAGCCAAATTTAGTTGGTTTTAAGATAATATATTGACACGGTTATTCCATTAGCCATGAGATGATCCTGACTTCTTAGGATGCTAATTCTAACATTATGCTTTTGACAATGGTTGAAACATTAAACTGTAGTTCTTTTTTGAATTTTATAATGCTTGGTAACCCTCTTTCTGGAAATCTAAGTATGGTTGGTAATTATGCCTATTTGTCTGAAAAGCTTGTTACTTAATCTGCAGATCTCAATCCAGAAGTGTGATAAGGATGGAGACAACAGGCTACGAGTATGTCATTCTGCATGTCGGTCTTATAATCTAGCGTGTGGAGCTTCACTGGACTGCGGTGACCAAACTCTTTTCAGCAGCAATGGGGAGGGAGAGGGTCAGTGCACTGGCTCTGGTGAGATGAAATTGTCGTGGTTTAATCGACTGAGAAGTAGTTTTTCTTTCAGAAATAGTTCCTCAAAAGTAATATCTGTAAGATATAGGCAGCTTTAGCTTCGATCCTTTTTCTCATTTGGGTGGAGGAGGGTTGGGTTGTAATTTTTATAGGGTTATTGTAGGAAAAATTGGTGGCATGTAACACCTTAGATTTAGGGATTGCTTACTCATCCAAAATTGTTTAGGAAAAATGGGATGAGGAAGTAACAGATTCGGCTTTCAAAGAGAGCCTTTTGTAGAGAAAATTTGGAATATTTGGAAATGGATATTAAATGAGCGGAAAGAAGAAAAGAAAAAAAGTTAGGAAGCTGACATGGTTGTGAGAGCTTTGGCCGAAGGCCTACAAAGGGGAAAGGAAAAATTTTCTGCTTCATTCCTTTTTCTGTATATAATAATTAATACTCTGTCTTTCTTATTTTCCTTTAATTTGTTGTCTTTTTGTTTATATTTATATGTATTATTTTTTTTCTACGCACTGTTGGTTTGAAGTTATTGTGTTCCCAAAAAAAAAAAAATAGTATTGTTTCACTAGGATTGCTGATTTTCATATAAGCAATAAAATTACTTACCTCAATTTTATCCACAAATATCGAAAGACTAAGAAAATTGAAAAAATAACCAATTGCGAGGGAAATAGCTGTTAGCTTGAGAATATTAGAATTGGATTTAAATTATTTATCTATTGCCATTTTTTTTTTTTTTTGATAACATATCTATTGCCATTTTACAAGACTATTAAACATATCCTTAATTTCCTAAAACCTGAATTCATGTAAATATTAGGACACAAAAAGTTCAGTAGTGTTTTATTATTTACTTATAAAAATTGCACTAGTCATGTGGTTAGCAGTTTAGTTGATGCTATTTGTTGTGGAATTGTAATACGTATTGTGTATTGTTTGACTGATTTTATTGTATTGAATAATAAGATATTGAAATATAATAAAAAATAATTTAAAAATATATAATAGAATTAATATCATATAAATTCAAATTTCAAAAAAGAACCAATACGCAAAATATATTAGTAACTAAAGTGCAAATTAGTTATTTTCTTACTCAACAATCATTTTAATTTGAATCAATTTTTCATTTTTTATTTTATTTTGAAGGTCGAAGAGATTTTGAATATTTATTTTTTAGATTGATTTTTGAATTTAATTCACAAATCAAATTTTTATTTTTTTATATTAAAAATTATACATTTTGATTTGATTTTCATATTGTATGATATACGATATGATACTTTATACTATGAAGCATTGACACTTCAAAAATCTCGACGTGTCGTGTCCGATACTTTTCGACACTTCGACGGACCGACACTCCCCGACACTTCTATGAGCGTTGCAGAAACTCAAAAGAAAGGTTCAAAGGTTGTGTTGCGTTGCTTTTTAATATAAATATTTGTGATATCTTATGTTTCTTTGCAAAATTAATGGGTATTATAAGTTTAGCTTTAATTTTTTGTTAAATTATTGAATATTAAATATAATATACGCAATATAAATTAAAAATATTATTCAATATCAATACGTGTCATAATGTGTCAAAATATAACATTTTTTCGAATTAACGTGTCGGAGTGTCGTATCGTGTCCTGTGTAAGTATCGGTGCTACATAGCTTTATAGTACGATACAATCCTTTTCGATACTACCTCGATACGTATAGCTGCGCTTGTGTACCCTCAATACGTATAGATGCGCTTATGCTTTGTATCGTACACGTTGGTACTAATAACTATAGCTAGCATGATATATATGGGGAAAACATTTCTATAGTCACTTTAGATAAGTTTGTTTACAGCTACCCTTTTTAACTAAATATGACCGGTCATACTTTAAAATTGCATTTTCTCTCTCCGCCACGTCGGCCGACAGTGTCTGAGGAGAGAGAAAAAAGAACAACTTTATTGTTATAACTAAGTATGATCGGTCATACTTAGTTAAAAAAAAGGTAGCTGTAAATAAACTTATCTAAAATGGCTGTAGAAATATTTTTCATATATATATATATATATATATATATATATATAACCTCTTGATCTTTGTGTATTCATCTTATGTCATCCCAATGTTGACAGTTTTAATTAGCGCCAAATATAGTAACGAATACTCATTTGTAAAACTGAACTTATGTGACTAAACTTGCTTTGCATCGCAGAGTTTGTAGAAGGTATGTAATTGCACAAAGAAAATAAGCTACTTTCTCTTTGTTTTTTAATTATCAGTATCAAATTGCGAAGAAATAAAATAAAAGATTTATTCTCCATTAATAGCAAAGATTTAAAATAAAAATAAAACTAAAAAATAAAAAATCCATAAGCTGCTCACTAAAATAAACTCAACAATAAATAAACATAACCATATAAGATATATTGTCACATTAATGACTACGAAGATCGGGTGGGGCAAAAGGTGATACGGTAATCGGAGCCAGAACATGTGCAAGTGCTTGAAGCATCGTCGTACGCGTAACTGTAAGCCGTGGGACACGCCGCCTTAAAAATCTCCGAGTAATGCGTCGGAGAACATGTCTGCGGTGTTGAGTGCTCGCCGGTGCAACAAAACACATCCGTATTAAATGCTGCGCACGCGCTTTTGCACGCCACAACTCTACCCGACCCGTCTTTGACCTGCAACTCCTGGGGGCAGTTACCATTCAAGTCCGCAACACACCCTGCGTGCTGGCAGTCACCGGTTCCTCCGGTTGCCCACACTCCCATGCCCACATTATAACCGTCCACGAGGCTCACGTCGTAGAAATCCTTGTTTCCGTTAGTGGCGGATCCGATGGTGAACTCCGCAAGCGTCACCGGAGGAACACCTCCCCCGTTGCACTTTAGTCCTCCGGCGCAGTCTCCGGTGACGCAATTTCCGTTGCCGGCGCCGTCAAAATTGCAGCCTGTTCGGGCCCAGAAGCGTCCTGACCAGCCGGATGGTGCGGTGAGCTGAACAGCCGAACCGGGTGGCAGTGAAAAACCTCCGCCGCCAAGAATGGCGGCGCCGTTGCCGGAAAGTGTCCCGGGCCAAACTGTGTATCCGCACTGGTTTTCGAGGGTAAACACCGTGGCAGATACTACATTACCTGCAAATATATTCATACAAAAATAAAAAGTTTAAAAAAATCAGAAAAAAAAAAAATCCAAAGTGTTTTGTATTAACATGCAGGTGATTATTGTTTACCTAACAGGAAGAGAAGGTTGAAGAGTAAAGAGGTTTTTGAGTTTAGGTGTAAGGCCATGACTTCGATGGATAGAGAGTAGAAAGGAAAGAAGGACTGTTCGGAAGTTAAGGATGCAAGAAAGAGTTGAAGTGAAAACTGAGAGGATGAAAATCTGGGACTGTAGGGAAGTGAATTTATAATTTGCGTCTCGCGAAACGTTATTAGTGTTGGATTTTGGTTACTGTTTTTGACGTGATTGTAATTTAATAATTGGTACTATCTTTCTGTGAGAAATTTAAGATTGTGGGTCATCTTGTGATGGAACGTGACTGATCCCATTCACCGCGAATGTAGCCACGAATCCACGATTACTTACCAAGATTCTCATAATTATTTTTTTAATGATTTAAATATACTCATAAAGTTATAGATTGTCATAATTATAACATATCACACACATACACACAAAAGGAAGAGATTCCGGGAAATATACTTGAGCTAAAGTAATAACAAGATTTCCATGTGTTATTTAATACGATGGCATGTGGGAGAATTATAAAATAATAAAGAGTAAACACCCTTTTTAGTTCCTGGCAATATCTACAAAGTCCTTTTCAGTCCCTGGCAATAAAAAAGGATCAAATTGGTCTCTGAAAGTACAAGAAAAGAGTCACTCTACATATTTGGGAGTTGACATAAGGATTAACATGGCCCCTTTTTTTGTAATTTCAGGGACCAATTTGGTCCTTTTTTATTGCCAGGGACTAAAAAGGACTTCGTAGATATTGACAGAGACTAAAAATAGTGTTTACTCTAAAATAAATATAAAAAATATTATAATAAGTAATTATAAAATTAATACCGTTTATTTATCATTATATGGTTAAAATTCTCTTATATAAGATAAATATGTTAAGTACCAGAATCCGCTCCCAAATTTATTAGAGTTGAAAATAAATCAGGGTAAATTGAGAGTGGAGATATTCTAACTACCAAAATTTTTTACTACCAACTTACTATCCATCACATCACCATTGGATCAAAAAGAGAGAATGTTAAAAAGTTTTTGAAGAGAGAGAAAATGTTAATCTAATAGTGATTAGATATGTAGTAAGTTGGTAGTGGAAAATTTTAGTAGTGTGAATATCCTTTATCTTTAATTTAACCATGTCTTGTGAAAAAATTATGAAAGAGAGGGAGAGAGAAAATATTGAAATAATTAGTTACAACATTATTACTGTTTATTTACCCTTAGGGGCCGTTTGGTATACGGATTATCTCGGATTTTCGGGAAACTGAAATTTTTAAAATTTTAAATTTTCAGATATTATCGTAAACTGAATGTAAAAATCATATTTTTGAAAATTGAGATTCCTGGACAAATAAAAATTTCTTCTGTACCAAACGCCCCCTAAATAATTAGAATTCTCCTCTATAACATAGTTATGTTAAGGGAAAATGTGTATCATTTTAAATGACACATCTTATAACATCATTTCACTTTCACTGAGATCCATATTTTTTAAAAAAATTTCCCCTCTTTTTCTTTCATAATTTATCTCTTTCTCTCACTTAAAATGACACAATTTTATGTTCTTTGAAATGATATACACTTTTCTCTTATGTTAAATAACAATATCCACTCCCAAATTTAATAGAGTTGAAAATAAATAGGCCTGGGTAGAGTAGAAATTATTGCGGAAATATAGCCCATTATTCCTTATGTTTTTTATTACCTGTTTTAATTTATTCCCCAATATTTATTTATGTTATTAATGTTTTTTCTGCAATCCCAAAACAAAACTACGTCTAAAAAGATACACAATATGTATTGCGAATCAAAATGCCAATTTATTAAAGGGTCGTGTCATTTGTTTATATTATTAATTTTTAGTACTTAGATGATAGACTGACATACGGGTATAATTATTTAATTAAAAAATTAGTAAAATTTATTGTTGTAAAAAAGTATTAGGTAATCAAAATTGTACATTAATCATTATAAAAGAACAAAAAGTAAAATTAAATTAGAAAATAAAAAACTTGCAACTCTACTTGAGTTTACTGGTCGCTTTGCTTACGTAGTTTCCCGTTTAGACGCTTGGCAGTGT